CCCAGGGTGCACCAGGTGGAGGTAAGTCTATCGCACACCCTCTGTGTGTGTATAAAGTCTTGACTTCAAGGCTTGCAACCTCCACCCAAATGTAGGAAGGCCTTTACCACTATTCAGCTTAAGTAGTAAGGTATAGAGAAGATTTCGTTTGGTAATTTGTTAGACTTTAAAATGCCAGTTTAGCATTCAGATAATTAGGTATGCCCAGAAGGGCGTCGAATTCATGACCTCTAACTTCGCAAATAACTGCACCAATAGTAAACTGACAGTAAGATATATTTTCTAGTTCAAACCAATGAAAATACAACACTTGTTCACATAGGGAGGATTGGCAGTCAATTCACGTCATTGAAACTCAAGTGGTGACTGAGGTATCACTTCATTAATATGGTAAAATAATCAATGATGCGTTCTTGAATGTAGCGTAAAACTATTTATCGATTTTCGCTACTACTTATTATAATGTTCTATAGTTAAATTGGTATCACCAGTATTAGTCTGTTAACAGTGAAATCTGGAATGGCTTAAACGTCACCTCAAATCCACCTTAAAATAAACCCTATTTTACCAATATTTTAAGGTAGTTTGAGAAGCGGAGTACATCTGTAAGAATATTATAAAATGGGACTATGTTTCAAGGGATCTGTTTGCCATAGTTAAGCAAAACTTAAAAAAAGAATAGGTTGATTTCTTTTGCAGACTACCTCAGAAGTGATAACTAATCAACAGGATTCTTACAGCTCCGTTTGTTAACTGCTGTATCTACTTCATAAATTCTCCATCTCTAACTCATAGTGGAATAGTTTTTATTAAGAAATATGTGCTATCCCAGTATACTACAACGTACGTGGATGTTAAGGAATGTGCATTAATCATTCTCAATTCAGCTTTGCCAAAAATAACCTTGAGCATCAGATTATATTCTTATATATTGCGTAGGTGACTATTGTCGTGTGTTGTACACGCCGAGTTTTATGGGAGGGGGGCGCTCTCTTAAATCTTCTCTGCCTACATACTACTTATCTGCTTGCCACGTGAATTTGTTTTAACGTACGTATGCAATTTCGATATGCCCTCCCTCCGAGCTCTGCCTTTGAAATCAGCAAAAGAGATATTACAGATCACAATTACAGTTTTGTTGGGTGTCACGCAATACGAATGCGCCGAGAGAGGGAGTGAGAGAGAGAGAGAGTTAACGCGCTCTGGGACTAATGAAGTTAGCTCATACTGAGCCAAAATGTGGAAATTTGTGTATTTGCATAAAATGCATTAGTAGCCTCAACATGCTAGTAGTTATCACTGTGAGGTGGGAGTGCAATAAGGCGAGACATAAAATCAATGAGATTAAAAAAAATTGAATGTGTTCTAAGTGTTTTTTTTAAAAATTATATTCAAGGTGATTTTGGTATTGTAAAGGCATTCCAATTTCCATACCGATAGGACGAAATTCATATTAAAATATATCCTTATAAAATGTTTTAACCCAGAGGTTAATAATAAGAAAAATGAATCAAAATGAATATCTCATTCTAAGCTGCCTTTCCACCAATTTCCATCGAGCATATCAGAAAACGTGAAGGTAAAAGCCACGAATACGGCTTGGTTGTTTACATTATGAGAATATTATCCAATATAAAACCGGAAATAGATGTAGTAGTTCCAGTAAAATCAGTTCTAGAAGTGAAGAGAAATCAATAATTAAAGTAGGAAAATTTAGTAACTGTTAAGTTTAAAAGGGTTCAAATCAACAAAAGATTAAAACCGTACCTTTTAAATCGTATGTTTTTGTTTTTGTTTAGTTCTAAGATCAAATTATGAGCAAAATCTTTGCCGAGAGAGGTTAGATCTACAACAAGGTGTGTAGACATCTTAAATAGGATTAAAATTGTGAATAATGACTGGGTGAATGAATATATCAATTGGAATAAAAAGGTAATCAGATAAATACTAATTTAAATCATACCCAGGTTCAATATTAACATTTTTTTCATAAGTTTCGAAATATTAAGAAAATTATTTCATTTGCATCTACGTAAGCGAGTATTTAAATTGACGGAATGGTTGCATTAATGCAATAATATATCCATGGGATCTACTTAACCTAATTTGTCATCAAAATTGTGAAAAAAGATAAATTATGGATCGAACGGAAATGCTAGTCTAACTGAGCATTTGTTATTTGGGGGAAAATTTTACCAAATTAAGTACACTATAACATCTTGAGCAATTATTATCGTCACCGATCAAAATAAGATGGGCTTGTGACGAAGCTTCAATTTGGAATTGGACGAGGAAGTGAAAAGTAAACTTTCGATTTGACATAAAATATCAGTTAGGCCAGATGTCGTTAGTTCAAAGTAACGCATTTGGAGCAGTCCAAATGCTTATTTCTGACGGGTGCATATCCGGTAATGACTCATAAGAAGTTGGGGGATTCTAAGACGTCTATGAAGCCTTAATCCATTATCCAGGTCAATCGATAAATTTATGAGTCACTTTATAAGCTTAATAATGGTAGTAAAATGTTTTAGGTCACTACAAGCATAAATAGCCATGGATACTTGGTTTAGAATGTAAGTTTCTTTCTTTCTATCTGCACTGAAGGAATAATTAATGATCCAATTTTTCCCAAAAATATGCTATATTTTAATCATTTTGATAATTTAATATGTATCATATTTTTTCTTTCAATCTTTACCACTGCCGATTGTTGGTAAATTTCGTTTAAATAAACCGCCATTTTTTTAACAAAATGAGTAACGATTTCCGACTTGGAGTCTTAAAATTAAAATACATTAAAGTAGGAGTGAGATTAAAAGGGAACAGAAAATAAATTCAAGCGATAGACTCAACTCAGACGCAATGAAATGGCCCATTCGCCCATAGTGATTAAAAGAGAGGTTTTAAATAGGTACTGGCGCCCTAAAAATGTATAAAACGACCTCCCCTTTCAGTTAAGTATTTGCTCAATTGAAAAACAGTACGCAATATACCAAGTTTTTGGATTGTAATTGTACAATTATCACTTGAATTTATTTTGTCATTTTTTGATACACATAGCGTATAGAAGAATATTATATACATGTATATAATATTTAACATTCTTTAGTAAAGATTATTTACAATATTTCAAGGTGAGAAAATATGCTGGGATGATAGGTTGCAAATGTACCCTATTTAATCGCTTCCGATAGTAAGTAACTAGGCCAAAAATGCGTTCTCTGGTTTCGACCTGCTTGAAATTTTGAAATTATAAAAAAATTTAAATAATTGGTCAAAAGTCATTTTAAATCTGGAGACAAGATGACTATTTGAAATAAATTTGCTGTAGTGTAGTTGGATCAATCGGGGGGGGGGGGACTTTTTTCAAAACTAATCTGAATTTATTATGACCATTGGAAGAACAAAAAAATTAAAGTCCAAAAAGAAAGTAACATAATTACAAGTTTTGAGTAAAATTGAGCAACCCCAATGCTGGAATGACAGACTGTCTGGAAATTATATTTCTCGATACAAGTACGTCGTTTGCTTCCCTACAACTTTAAGTCACCTATGTAATGTTGATAATCCGGAAACTACCATTTTATCGTTTCTTCTATCTTCTACACAAACAATGTAAGAAGAAAATAGAGATTATGGTTGTTTTGTGCCTATTTCGAGGTGCCTAGAGCAATATTTGCCCAGTAATAAGTAAACAATCGATGCATGTGAAAAAATGAGAAAACAGTCAATGCTGGAACAAAGAAGAGTTTAAGGCATGGGCGTTAGTTGCCCAGAAACGTCCATAAAGACATTAGAAAAAGTTAAAAAAGCTGGTTACAGCGCTATTTGTTCCATTAACAATGATGTCGCGTGTGTCTTACATATATCGCTTGCATTCCCAGATAGAGAGAACAAAGAAGTGGATTACTTCATATTTTCCATTATTTTTAATAAAATAATTGCACATTAATTATGAAAAACAATTGAATTTGGTTAATGGCAGATTCAAAGAGTATTGGCTCATTTTATTTTTCTGTTTAACTTGACCAATATTTGTTAAATGGGCAGGTTATTTTAACAAATTTAAATCTCAAAAATTGTGGAAAATTCTTAGCTATAATATTTAATGTCCGTTTCTAGGCTTTTAATTAAGCAAATGTTTGTCTGAGCGTTTCAATAAATTTTTCATTGTTAGGAAAAAGGTAGGCATCAAGGTACAATATATTCAACAGCTTACTTTTATTAATATGGAATTCAGTGATGTTCCGGCAAAATATTTGAAGCTCCATTCAATTAATTGCAAACACACATTTTTTATAACTTCTATATCACAGAAGTATCGGTAGTATTGAAGAATATTTATTAAAACTGACGACCTTTCAAATTGTGCCCGATTTTCAAAAACATGGCAACTAATCTATCAAATCTTTGACTAAGGTCAACTCAATAAATATAATCCTCAATTTTATTCACTGAATGAGATTGAATAGCCAACACGGTCTCTTCAATTCAACCAACGAAAAAACAAATAATGGACACTAGATTTAATCAATTACCTAAATTACTTTAATCAATAATTGTTTGATGTGAATCCCCATCTAAACCCAACTTAGAATATATAATATCAAGTGCTTTGTACATTATAGTTTGAGGGTCAACCTCCAGTCTATGCTGACGCACTGGATTATCTCAACATGATATTTACGGGTGTCTTCACTGTCGAGTTCATCCTCAAACTAACTGCTTTGGGATTTAAGGTGAGATTATAATCCCTTTTTATTTTATTTATTAAACCACTAAGATTGGTGTGTCTTGATCCAATAGTGATTTTACCCTCTGTTGGGCAGTATTTTCGCTTGGTATAGATATAAAAATTCAATAGTTGACGTATCTTTTCACACATCCGAATGAAATCAAGCGACGGATTCAAATTAAAATATTCAAATTATTGCTATTGACTCAATTCTACCCGTCAGACAGTGGCATACTTTTAATTGTGACATTTTAGAGTAGAATCATAGTGAAGAACCTATGGCACATCTTCGTCTGTATGAATTGTTACGCAAATAAGAAAGTGACTCTGATTTGATGCTTCCATTATACGGGTACACTGAGACATCTTTTCATTAAGTAGTAAGTTCGAAAATTATATGAAAAAAACTAACAACCTGATGCTTGGTGCAAATCGGTCATTGAAGCATAAATCGAATGAAGATATGCATATTAAAAGAGATTAAACATGGGTTGAAGGAAGCTATACTTCTATAAAGTATACTTGAAGGAAACTTTACTGAAATACTTTATTCCTGTTTGTTCTCTTAGTGGTTATCTACATTGAAATAAGGCAAAAGTTAGGTTTTTGTTGAAATTAAAACGACCTAAGAAATGGGCGAGATTTACTCAGTCGAAATACCATCATTACGTCATTTCTTTCTTTGGATTGTCAAAATAAAGAAGATGTTCAATTAGTTTACAGTTAGATTTACTTAATCTCTCTTTAATCGAATACTTATATTCCTTCAATTATTTTTCCTCCAGAATTACTTCAATGACCTTTTCAACGTCTTCGATTTCATCATCGTGGTGGGCAGTTTTGTTGACATTGTACTCTCTCATATCGCCGTAAGTTACTACTTGCAGACACAGGCTACCTTTTTTGTCGAATCCTTTTTTTGGCTGCGAATATTTTGAAATTGGAATTCAACGAGCCCTTGAATTGAAAGACCTGAACATAGTTGTTAAATTTAAAAAGATATCCCTCAAATTCTCTTTGGATATTCCTTTAGCAGTGGTAAATAGAAACTAATGGCTAATGTAATAATAAAATTTAAATTTTTTTTAATATTCTCTTGCAGTTTTATTGCCTGGCCAGACCTTGTTGACTTTGACACCACCAATGTTTTACAAAATTATTGCATTTATTTGCAATTTGGATTGTTGCTACCTTAAATTTCGCATTTATAGGAAAACTCAAAGTTCTTTAGCATCAACTTCTTTCGCCTCTTTCGCGTAATGAGGTTGGTGAAATTGCTCAGCCGAGGTGAAGGTATCAGAACTCTACTTTGGACGTTTGTCAAGTCTTTCCAAGTAAGGTGGTCTGTTATACTTCCCTCCAACCATAACGGAGGACATCTAATTGACCATTTCACCTTTCTATAGGCCCTCCCCTATGTTGCTTTGCTCATTCTCATGCTCTTCTTCATCTACGCTGTCATCGGCATGCAAATGTTTGGCAAAATTGCTCTAAATAACCCAGATAGTGCAATAACGGTGAACTCAAATTTTCAGACATTTCCTCAAGCCGTCTTGATTCTTTTTCGCTCGGCAACTGGTGAGGCATGGCAGGACATCATGTTCAGTTGCGTAGGAGGTGAGTTAAAGTAATATCAAGACTTCTGAAGTCAACCCCCTCCCCTTTCCTCAAGGCGCACAGTTTTTACCCAACTTGGAATCAAAGTACCAAAAGCCACAGACTTGATGCAAGCGATTAAATACTCAACTTAAGAGAGAGGGAACTTTTTAGGCAAATGCTCATCTTAGGAATGAGTAAAAATGCGAAATTTGAAACTGTATTTATTGGCTCCACGGATTATGAAAGTGGAAGCAAGTAGAGACCCGTATCAAGCAACCTCTTGAATTTCCTCCATATTTAAATTCACCAATCAAGTTGCTTACTTAATTTGCTCTGCCTAAGTAAAATTGTAGTCAATTTTTGAATTAGGTACTGTTTTCTAAGTTAATTATATTTTCTGACTTAACTGAGCTACTGGGTGTGCCAGCTAGTTTGAAAAAAATCAATATCGCATCTTAACATTCATACCTATGACGGTACCAAACAAAACTAAAAGCTTGGGAAAAATGCTAACCTAAAAAGAACTCCTGCTGAATGCTGATATTGCTAATGTTACCAGCGGTCTAAATTTTGAGACTAGATGTAGTCTTCCTTGCAATCCTTCAGAATTCAAGAATACAAGCATCGTTAAAGTGCTTATCTACTAATAACCGCAGGTGAATAATGCTAAAACTAATTTTTAGGAAAATTAAATCCAAGAATGCAAATGCTAGTCTAATTTTTCCAATCCTGATCAAACTGCTTTATGGGAGCTTTTCATCTGTATAACCTTTAGTCCAACCTTTTCGACCTTTTGACCTCTTAATAAATGGACGTACTGTTTGCAAACTTTAATCATGGACACATGAAATGAAATCGAAGATATGAATCGAGAAAAAGGCCTAGATGAAGTGGATATTGGAGACATGACTTCATTTCCGGAAGCAATGTTTTCATATGTTGTCTTAATATTTGTAGATCATGGCTTTGGCTATGGGGTTCAAATATGAATTTTTGTGATTAAAACTCAAAGCATGTTGATAATTCGATTTAACTCCTCGATTCATTGTATCCGAATGCACAAACATTACTTCCTCTGAAATATTTAAGTGATTGAAAATGAAGTCACACCATTGTCTCTTCAGCCGTTAGCCATAGCGATTTCTTCATATATTTGTCTTTAATTTTTGTTCAAATTGAACCCAAGATATTTGGTTAAAAAAAGTTAACAGCCTTTGAGTTAATTTTGAGCAAGTGATTTCAGTACGCATACCCCCTGACTTTCTCACAGATTCAACGGATATTTATAAAAATACTTTCCGACGTTTTTAAGCTTGCTTATATTTAGAAAGGTAAGGTAAGCACTACTCTCTACACGAAGGTACTTTAGAAGTCAAAAAATAAATTAGTCCAAATATTCCCCCACATTATTAATGACCTCCATAGATGCTAATTACGACATAGCAACCATTGCCGAAAAAGAAGACAATGAGCTGAGTCAAACTAAGTTAGCCCTGGTAAGCTAGAAAAAAGCCAGGGCAAGTGAGGGAATAAAATATGGCGAGGCATTATTCACATACCAATTGAGATCTAGAAAAAACTAATTCTTCTCAATGGTAACTATAAGCAAAATCTGCGCAAGAACTGAGCTTTGTGAGCTAGCCTATGCGATGGTAATGCAAACTAAGCCTTAAAAAGTTTTATTTATTTATATCAAATGGCAGGCGTTTTGATAGTTATCATTAGCCCTTTAGCTGACTTCGGGCTTCAGAAAGAGGAGGAGGAACATCAAAGTGACAAAAGTCGAGAGGGGGGGGCAGAATAATGATTCATAGATGTAAAAGAGACAGACCAACACAAAGGCAGGGAAAAGGTAAGGTGAGTACTGTGGAAGTAGTCGAATATGGCATACAGTGGGGTGATGGTAGTTTGAAGTCAGAAATAAACTGCCGGTTAATAGACTTTTTGCCGTATGAGTATACGTTGCCCAGGGTGCACCACGTGGAGGTAAGTCTTTGCACACCCCTGTCCTGGAAATATGAAACAGACCAATTAGTCTATAACATGATTTGCGTGTAAAACATTAAAAACACAATCGATACCAGTTTTATT